TTCAAAACTTTTATGTAATTAATTGAGGAGACCTTAAGATGTTAACATTGCTACTAATAAAATTTTCAAGAAATTGCTTCCAGCTAAAGGAATATTGAAATGAATTTGCTAATAGGTGAAGAACTGTTAATACCCTACAGGGGAAAACCTGTAAATTTTGGGTTACCTTTCCTACCCTTATTGAAACAGCTTCTCAGTCTTTTACAACTCATTTACATTGGCTATCACTTTTTTAAAAAACATATGAAAAGCTTTATGAATGAATTTGACAGGGCCCATGTTAATATTGTCCGTATTGATCCTGTTTTAGTGTATGTGCTGCGAAGCTAGCTATATATGCCCTGACTGGGAATCAAACCAGTGGCCTTTTGCTTTGCAGTCTGGTGCTCAATCCACTAAGCCACACCAGCCAGGGCATTTTACTTCATCTTTATTGTATTTTTTCCCCTTACCATTTAGTCCCCTTATACCCTTATAGCAGTCATCACACTGTTGTCCTTGTCCATGAGTCCTTTTCCTGTAGTTTTCTTTTATTAATTTCTTCTCCTTATTACCTTTCTTTTTTAGGGGGCATACACTCTCTTTTTTTGTTGTTAATTATTGTGCTTACTTAGCCATTAACTGCCAACCTTTCACTGTGTAGTGTAAACACTCAGGGCTATAAATTTCCCTTTTAATTCTGAAGATTTATTGACACTTGTTTTTAACTCTACATATGGTCTGTTTTTATGTTTCATTTTGTTTGTGAATTGAATGTGAGTTTTTTTCAGTTGGGTGCAATATGCAGTATATTGTGAATTAGATCAAAATTGTTAATTGTTACTTTTATTTACCGATTATTTTGTGTGCTTGATCTATCAGTGACTGACAAGAGGTGTTTTAGAAGATTAACTAGTATGATTCATTTGTCTGTTTCTTACTGAGTTTAATTTTTGTTTTATGTATATTGAGGCCATGTTATTACATGTATATAAATTTAGAATTATGGCTTCATGATGAAACATCCTTTTTTCACTATGTTGTGACCCTCTTTATCTTTAGTGTTACTTCCCACCCTTAAAGTCTATGTTGGATGCTATTGTAAATAATATTTTCTGTTTTCTCTTTTAGCTACTAGTATAAATACTTTTTGGTATGTAAACAACATTTTTGTTACTGTTTGCCTAGGATATCTTTCTTACATTTGCTATTTTCAACCTTTTTGTATCTTTATGTTTTAGATGTCTCCTTAATATATTTTTCTTTTTTATGATTTTATTTTATTTTTTAAATATTTTATTTATTTATTTTTAGACAGAGAGGAAGGGAAGAAGAAAGAGAGGGAGAGAAACATCATTGTGTGCTTGCCTGTCATGCACCCCCTACTGGGGACCTGACCCACAACTCAGGCATGTGCCTTGACTGGAAATTGAACCAGCCACCCTTTGGTTTGCAGGCTTACACTCAATCCACTGAGCCACACCAGCCAGGGCCTTAATGTATTTTTATTTTTTAAATTGCAATTTATATTCAGTATTATTTTGTATTAGTTTCAGGTACACAGCATAGTGGTTACACAATCATATACTTTACAAAGTGTTACAGCACCCACCTGGCACCATACATAATTATTACAATATTATTGACTATAATTCCTATGCAATACTTATAGATGTCTCTTTAAACATCATATTTTTGGTTTTGTTATTTACCCAATATATGAGAGTCTTTGACTTTAAACTGCCATGCATGGGAATTGTTGGGCTTCCTGAACTCAGCAGTTGAGATTGTCTTTCATTAGTTGAGAAAAATTCTCAGCTGGTGTCTCTTCAAAAATTGTCTCTGCCTCTTTCTCTTCTACCTTTCTGAAACTTCAATTAGATATTCTCACTTTATATTCTGTGTCTTTTAATCTCTCATATTTTGTTCATTTCTTTGTAGATTATCCTGGAAAATTCTAGATCACTCCTTAGCTGTGTCTGATTTACAGTTAAATTTATTGAGTTTTTAATTCCAATTTTTGTTTTCCATTTTTAGAGGTTCTATTTAGTTCTTTTTAGATGTCTCTTTGAGGGAGCTACTTTTGCTCTACTGATATGCCAACCTTTATTTTCTATGTCTGACCATAGCAATAAAGTCTTTGCTGGTTTGAATTATGCTGTTTGTTTATGCTAGCTTTTGTTCACAGTGCCTTGCTTCTTTGTGATTTTTATTTTTATTTTACTTTTAAGATTTTGTATTTATTTACTTTTAGAGAGAAGGGAAGAGAGGGAGAAGTAGAGGGAGAGAAACAACTCATTGGTTGCCTATCACACATCCCTAACTGGGGACCTAGCTTGCAATCCAGGCATGTGCCCTAACTGGGAATTGAACCAGAGACCTTTCAGTTCACAGGCTGGCACTCAATCCACTAAGCCACACCAGTCAGGACTCTCTGTGATTTTTTTAAAAAAAAATCTGTATATACTGAATTCATATTCTTTAGAATTTTATGGGATATTTTTGAGTCCTGGGTTGATGATGTTTTCCACAGAGAACACCTTTGCTTTTTTATATACTAAGGGCTTTATCAGTCTGGGGACATTTTGGTTTTTTACTTTTATTTTTAAAAGTTTTTTATTTATTGATTTGTGAGAGAGAGAGGAAGGAAAAGAGAGAGAGACATCAACCTGTTGTTCCACTTATTTAGGCATTCATTGATTGCTTCTTGTATGTGCCCTGACCAGAGATCAAACCCGCAACATTGGCATATCTGGATGACGCTCTAACCAACTAAGCTACCCAGCCAGGGCAATCTGGAACAACTTTAAATCCTCATCTTGAGGTTTTTCTGTGACTACCAAGGTGCGAAATTAAGCCTGGCTTAATTTGGTGGGGCACTGATATATTTAAAATAATATTTTAAAATACTTTTATTTAGCGTTTTTAGAATCCTTCAGAGCCTCTTAGTCTACTCTACTAACAGATGTAGAAGTACCCATCATAATTTTTTAAATCTATAACCATTGTCCATTTTAAAAATTTTTATAAAAACAGTATAAAATTTATCTTAAGTGTACAGTTCAGTAGTATTAACTGTATTCACATTGTTGTATATAACAAAGCTCTAGGACTTTTACATCTTGCAAAATTTTCCATTTCATTTTTATTTGCGTATATACCAAGTATGTGTATGTGTATATAAAAAGGGGAGGAGTAAAAACAGAGTACCAAAGTTATCTGTTATCTTTTGTTACTGTTATCTCCAGTAAGATTATGAGTAATTTTTTGTTTTATTACTTGTGTGTGTTTTTTAGTATTTTACAATAAAACATAATTTTTATCTTTGAAAAAATGATTTTAGATATTCAAAGTGTTATTTGGAGCAGTTAGTTCTTTATGGGAAAAATTTTGTATGACTTCAAACTTAGAAATTAGATAGATACTAGGTGAAAGACCAAAATACATTATTATATTGGTAGGTGTTTTTTTTTTTCTTTTTTAAGAAATATTCTTACTTACCTCAAGCTCATTTAACTTGGTCTCATAATTTATAGCAAGAATAATGTGGCTACAGCCTATTAATTACAGCCTCCATAGGAATGGCAAAAGTAGCCATGATGATAATGTTGATGTGTAGTTAGTTCCCTCAGTTTTCAACCTGACTCCTAATACAGGGGTGTCAAACTCATTTTCACCAGGGGCCACATCAGCCTCGTGGTTGCCTTCAAAGGGCAAATGTAATTTCAACTCCTTAACAGTTAAGGAGTAGTTACACTTATACAGTCCTAAAATTATTTTAGCCCTTTGAAGACAACCATGAAGCTGATATGACCCCTGATGAAAATGAGTTTGACACCCCTGTCCTATCATATCTCACAATTAAGGCTTTCCTGTATACTTGTCCATCCTGTCTGCCTATGTAAAAGAATCACATTTTATGTACCTTGAGCCAAAACTGAAAAACACAGCAAAATGAGTTTTTAAAAGGTTGCTTTGGCTCTCTGTATTTAATAAAAACTCTCTAAGATAAATTATTATATATTGAAAGTAAGGTGTGCCTACTGTAAGAAGAGAGAGTATAAATATTTGCTTGACTTTATAAAGAAACTCTGGAAAGCTATCCAAATCTTAATTATACTGGTTATGAAGATGGAGTTGGACATATCACTGTAATTTTCTGATTTTAGAATTATGTGAATATTTAAGATGGCTTTTGAAAGCAAAGTACTAAGAGCTTAGAAGAAAAGAAATAAACCGATCTTATTTTCTCACATAAATTCTTAAGTAATTATTGATTACTAATTAGTAATCACATGATTAGTAATTGTTTCATTCTGTAGACCAGGGATAGGCATACTATAGCCCAAAGGCCAATCCCTTGTTTTTTATAAATAGACTGTATTTGAACACAGCCACACTCATTTGTGTATGTGTTATCTGTGGCTACTCTTTCTAGCTACAATGAGAGTTGAGTAGTTGCAACAGACATTGTACAGCCTGCACTATTAATTGTGTAATTATAGAAAAATTTTTCTGACCTCCTGTCTTTGACATTGTTTTTAAATTTTTAGTAGTAGAACCTTTGTTCACAATCAAATTTTTTATATGGACTTGTATTAAAATATACAGCTATACTTATGAAGTGAGGTTAGGAGACAAGTTGGTTGAACCCTGCCTACTCACCTGCGTCCCTCTCTTTTTTTACCCTCCATTCTCCAGCAGCTGTTTCTTGAGGGGAATTTGAGGAACCCCCGGGGTTCTAAGGAGTACAGTTTGAAAATGACTGCCTTACAACAACTCTTTGAGGTAGTAAGTCTGATATTATTTTCTATTTTAGGTATTGAGAGACTCGGCTCATAGAAGTGAGTTAGTCAAGGTTTAATAAGCAACCAGAACACAAAACAAATCCAGGGTATTTAATTGCAAAATAAATGGTCATGTTTGCCTCTATATTGCCATAATCATATATTAATTGTTCTTACAAGGTGTTTTAGTGGTGATTTGACTTTTATGTCCCCCATCTGTCTTATTTCATATAGGTTTCTGTAAAGCAAGCTTCCTCCCTTTACTGGAATTTGCCTATACTTCTGTGCTAAGTTTTGATTTCTGTAGCATGGCTGATGTAGCCATCTTGGCTCGGCATCTTTTCATGTCAGAAGTTTTAGAAATCTGTGAAAGTGTACATAAACTAATGGAAGAGAAGCAGCTAACGGTATATAAGAAGGGTGAAGTACAAACAGTTGCATCTACCCAAGACTTACCAGAACAAAATGGAGGTACAGCACCTCCTGTGGCTAACAATGAGGGAGCCACCACAGCTTTATCTACTGACCTTGAGGATTGTGAAATTGTACTACTGGTGAATGGAGACTTGCCAGAAGCTGAACAGAGTGGAGAGCTAAGACAGCAGTCTGAGCCCCAGGTTTCTTCAGGGGCTGAAGCTACTCTGTCATCTTTACCTGTAGGCTGTATACCTGATTCTCATCCTGAAATGGAGCCTGTTGATATAGTAACAAAAAACAACCAGACAGAACTAGAAACTTTAAACAACAAAGATAGCACAGTTTCTAATATTTATCCTAAACTTTCCAAAGAGAATATAGTCAGTAGATCTCCAGAAAACACTGATATGAGAAATGATATATCAGTGGAGGATCTCTGTGATGACGACATTCCGGAGCATAGGCTGAACTTTGGCCAATCTTTAAAAGATCAGGAAAATCTAGTTGCAAAAACAGACCTTGGCCCTGATGATACTTACAGAAGCAGGCTTCGACAGCGTTCTATTAATGAAGGGGGATATATCCGACTACACAAAGGAATGGAGAGAAAGCTGCAGAAACGGAAAGCTATTCCCAAGTCAGCAGTTCAACAGGTATGAAGAAAAATTAGCCTTTGTAATTTTAGCTTTAATTTGAAAGCATTCTATTGATAAAGTGATAAACATGCCTATGGTGAAAATGGTTTTGGAATGAAGTGGGATAGGTGCAGGAAAGCAACTTAATGTTTAAATACCAGTATTAGTAAGATAATGTGAATTTGCAATATTTGTGACTCATGACATAAAAATAAAAATGATTATATTTACTTAGATTGTGTTTTCTGTCCCTTACTTAGGTAGCCCAGAAATTAGTTCAGAGAGGAAAAAAGATGAAACAGCCAAAAAGGGATGCTAAAGAAAATACTGAAGAAGAAGCATCTCATAAATGTGGGGAATGTGGAATGGTTTTTCAGAGAAGATACACACTTATAATGCACACACTGAAACATGAAAGAGCTAGAGATTACAAATGTCCGGTAAGCATTTGGAAAGCTAATTGAAGCTGTCTAACTTCATGACAAATAGAATCTAATTTACTGCTTCATTGTTATTCTGCCATTTGTGTTCTCTCTGCCTCTCTCTCCAAAGAGGTAATCTTCTTCTGATTTTTGTCATTTCCTTGACCAAAAAAGTATTTAGTGATGTATCTCTCTGTCTTCCTGATACCAGTAAGAAAACAATAAAATTATCATTTAAAAAATATAAGCTCAAAGAGAACAGGAGAGGAGACCCTAGCAACTAAATGCTGGACTCTGATACATAGCTGTAATCCTGATTCCATATATTTAAAAGGGCTAATTGCCAGGCTTTCAGTAGGGAAAGCTAAGTATCAGTCAAAATTGTATTGGAGAACTACCAAACAGCTCAGGAATTAGTATTACTAGCTACCTTAAAAGTGAGTCTGGTTGTTAGAAAGTCTTTTTAAGAAGCAATTAAGTCCCCACCAACACTTCTTTAGACAAAGATCCATCCTTTACTTTGTAGAAAAGATAAAATTGTAATCACTGTGGGGAACACTGTGTACAGAGAGGTGAATGCACTATACCCAAAACAGGGAAAAGTAAAATCTTACATACTGAATATTGAGACTTATGAAGTTTTCTTTTCCTAATCAGGCCCCAGCAGGTTAACAGTCAGGTCTTTAATCTGAAGTGAAAAGATTTTTCAGAAATGAGAAATCCAAAGCCCATAAACAAAAGACCTAAAGGTAGTGCTGACTGAAGTCTGTGGTTGACAACCCAATCCTCCAATCAGACAGAAATTCCAATTAGGTTTTTTATTATACCATCTTCTTCCAAAATATGAATAGACATCAGGGATAATCAGACTCATGATAAATATTTCAAGAAAAAAAAGCAACTTTGAGGAATCTAAGGCTATGCAGAAAGAGGAAAGCTTAAAAAAAAAACACCAAAAACCACCAAACCAGAAAATACGATTTTATATCAGATAAAAATAAAAAGTTACATCAATGAAACAATAACCAGGTAAAATATAAGAGCACAGCAGAGCTTTTTAGTAATAATAAATATACTAAGTATAAAAATCTCAGAAAAGTTGGGAAATAGAATTGACTAAATCTCTTAGAAAATAAAGCAAAAAGATAAGTTAGAAATGGGAGTTAGAGAAATTTAGAGGATTGATCTCAGATATCTAATATCCACAAAATACCAAACAGAGAAGATAGAGAACAGGAAATCATTGATGCAATAAAGAAAATTGTCACAGCTTAAGAATAGATTTCTTGTTAAAGGGGCATGTTGAGTCTTGACTGGTGTGGCTCAGTTGGGCATCGTTTCATAAAACAAAAGGTTGCCAGTTCGATTTCCAGTCAAGGCACATGTCTGGGTGGTCAGTTTGATGGTCCCCAGCAGGGCATATACAAGAGGCAGCTGATTGATGTCTCTCACATAGATGTTTCTCTACCTCTCTACCCCTCTCTCTAAAAATAAATAAATAAAATCTTTTTTTTTTTTAAGGCAGGCTGAATGCCCATAACCATGGATGAAAATAAATCTATATCAAGGTCTTTTATAAAATTTCAGAATCAAGGGACAAAGAGAATTTCTTATGAATTGCAAGGCAAAAAGAAGATGGTCAGTCTCATAGAAAGGGTGTTAAGATCAGAATGGCTTCAGGCTTTTCAGCAGCGACAATGGAAGCTAGAAGATAAAGGCGCAGAGTCCTTAAATTTGCAGGAAGGGGCCAACAGCAATCAAGACTCAATTACAATAGGGACAACCTAGAACTCCCAGCTCAAGTGATCAAGGAGATTGTACTACTGGGTCCCACAGTTCTCCTACTAAATAAGACTGTCCTACCAAGACTGGGAGTCATAGCAGATCTACCTCATACATGTAGAAATCAACAGAAAGAAGCAGCCAAAGTCAGGAGACAGACAAACATGCCCCAAAAGAAAGAACAGGAGAAAACTCCAGAAGAAAGCTAAAAGGAGGGCAAGCAATTTATCAGGTGTAAGGATGTATAGGAAAGAGAAAGGATTTCTAATTTGGAATCTGTAGCCAAACTATCAATTATTTGTGATGGTAGAGGAAGTACATTTCCAGACATGCAAGGTCTGGAAAGTTTTACCTCCCAAACTCCATTTTTTAGGAAGCTGTTGGCAGAGGTGTTCTACTTAAACAAGCAAGACAGGAAATGGGAAACTTGGGGTCCACGTCTAGAGACCAAGTGTAGGAAACAACCAGCCCAGGTTGGAACTAAGCATAATGCTTTGATAGAGGTGCACCATAAAGTTATGTGTTTTAAATCTCTCAGTAGACAATTGAGGAAAGGGTGTGGTGATGAATTAGAAGTAAATACAACAAGAAGTAAAAAAACTGAAAACAGAAAGGGAAGAGAATCAAAGTGTGTGTATCATAGGATCCACCTGTAATAACATTTACATCATCCAAATAATGTAAATGCTTAAATGGAGTTAATCAAACTTATGATATAACTATAGCATTGAGAAAGTAGAGTAATGGGAAGGATTTGCATATGTGTAGGGAGTGAGGGGCAAAGGAGAGCATCATTATCCATTATTCCTGTTACTTAGAGTTATAAAGATAAGCATCATTAGAGGGTCAAAAAACAAACAAGTGGAAGAGATAATGGACCAAGAGAAAGTGGACCAAGAGACAAGTTTTACTTATTAAAAACAAGTTTTGTAGATTAGCATGTATAACTTTGATTTCATGAATACCCAACAACTACAGTATAAAATCCAAGGACTATCACTTTTATATTTCTGCTTTTTCCAACTCCTATTTTTGTTCCACCTAACAACTGTTAATACTCTATAATGATAACATTCTTCTGTCTTTGTCCTACCATTCCTTCAAGACAGACCCAGCTTCCTCAATGAAGCCTTTCCTTACTGCTAAGATTAATGCTTCTTAAATGTTTCACCTTTTTAAAATATGTAAATCCTGTTTCTGTGGTTAGATTATAAACCTCTCCAGAGTAGGGGACTGAGTCTTATCCCTTTCATCTTTATAATCTGGTACCTACCATACTGTCTTTTGTATAATATATGTGTTTGTTGGTTTACATAATTGTAACAAAGAAATGGAAAGTTGAGCTATAAGTCAAGTTTTACTTAACATTTGTAAAGAAATTACATTTAGACAGAATTTTGTTTACTTTTTCTTTTAGTTGTGTAAAAAACAGTTTCAGTACAGTGCCTCCTTGAGGGCACACCTTATTCGACATACCAGAAAAGCTGCACCCACTTCGTCGTCGTCTTCCAGTTCTACTTCTAATGAAGCATCAGGAACATTGCCTGAGAAGGGCAGAACCAAACGAGAATTTATATGTTCCATATGTGGAAGGACATTACCTAAATTATATTCTCTTCGAATACACATGTTAAAGCACACTGGTGTAAAGCCACATGCATGTCAGGTAAAACCATAATGTTTATTTTGTTATATAAAGAAGATTGAAACTTAAGTGGTGATAAGACTGACTTTTACCAGAGTAAGAGTCACCCTTAAACTTACAAAATGTCACAGGGAATTCTATGACATTTCTAAGTTTTTGCTTGGGTAAAGGGTGATTTCCAATTGTGTCTAAGTCTACTGTTTAATTTATTATAATTTGAAATGAATCTATTTAGGACATTAATGAAACTTATTAGGATTCAGAGGATGTACTGGGTAAGAATCATCCCAGTCATCCCTTAACCTTCAGCAGGACTGACCTGGATGCAAAAGGAAGCCAGGGCTTTAAACAAATCTCCTTAGTAAAAATCCTGCCTAAGTTATGTATTCTTTAGAGCTAAGGACTAAGGGTACCTAAATGCCAAAATACGACTCCTCAGTAAAGAATCCTGTGATTAGCCAACTTTGAGCTATTCTCTTTCTCTCATTTGTTTTGTTTTGTTTGTTTTTGTTATGTGAGAATAGAACATGAGAGAATGGATTAGATCCTCATGTACCCTTCATCCAGATGCAATAGTTGTCAACATAGGGTCAGCTGTCACTCACTGCCCTATTGCCTCCCCTCAATAATTTTGAAGCCAAACCCTAAGTATCATTTTATTCATAAATTTAAAAACTAAGTATTAATTGGGCCTTTGGTCTTCTAGTGTGGCACTGCTCAAAATATATGGTCTAAGGAAGATAAGTACAGAAATGGAGAATAAGCATTTAGAAACAATTGTGTAAATTTGACATTATTGTGACATTTTTATTGTGTTTAACAAAAATCTCTAATGGATTGAGGGCAGAAAAATAGGGTTCTACAACACAGAGAGTGTGAGAAGCACTGTTTTAGTTGGTATAGCAAGAAATAAGTATATTTTTTTATTGAGTTCTAGTGTCTTTTAATATATAAGGTGTACTGTGTGCCAGTCTCACAAAGACAGCATGAGGGTTTTTTTGTAAGAAAAATAGCAATATTTGATCAACCAGTTAATACCTTTGGCATTTGTTTCAACTTTCACTTTGTTATTTTGTTTATAATTTAAGTTTTTTATTGAAAATGGCATATAGGTTTCTCCGTCTTCATTCAGAAACAGCTCCTATCTCCTTTTCTGTTTTACTGGTTTAAACACCTGTGCTGTCTTAGGTCTGTGGAAAGACTTTCATCTACAAGCATGGTCTAAAATTACACCAGAGTCTCCATCAATCACAGAAGCAGTTCCAGTGTGAACTGTGTGTTAAGTCATTTGTTACCAAACGGAGTCTTCAAGAACATATGAGTATTCACACAGGTAATGAGAAGTTTATATTGATGTAATTACAGGGTGGGGCAAAAGTAGGTTTACAAGTGTGACTACCCAAAACAGAATTTATTCTTGTATTAAAAATTGTATTATAAGCCCTGGCTGGGGTCAGTTAGTGGATTGAGCGCAGGCTACAAACCAAAGGCTTGCTAGTTTGATTCCCATTAGGGCACATGCCTGGGTTGCAGCCAGGTCCCCAGTACAGGTCGAGTGAGAGGCAACCACACATTGCTATTTCTCTCCTTTTCTTCCCCTCTCTCTAAAAATGAATAAATAAAATCTTTAAAAATTCGTATTATTATTTTTTCATTACTTTGATTTTTTAAAATATATTTTATTGATTATGCTATTACAGTTGTCCCATTTTCCCCCTTCACTCCCCTCCACCCTGCACATCCTCTCCCACCCACATTCCCCCCTTTAATTCATGTCCATGGGTCATACATGTAAGTTCTTTGGCTTCTACATTTCCTATACTATTCTTACCCTCCCCCTGTCTATTTTCTACCTACCATCTATGCTGCTTATTCTCTATACATCTTCCTCCTCTCTCCTCCTCCCCTGTTGATAATCCTCCATGTGATCTCCATTTCTGTGTTTCTGTTCCTGTTCTAGTTATTTGTTTAGTTTGCTTTTGTTTTTGTTTTAGGCGCGGTTGTTAATAATCGTGAGTTTGCTGTCATTTTACTGTTAATTGTATTATTTTTTATGTGAATAACTGTAAACCTACTTTTGCCCCACTCTGTACATAATATATACTAATAATTTACTATTATATTGATTTGTGATTATTTCAGGAATTTTATTAATGTACTGGTGGCTATATGTGCAGTTTGTTTTATTAATGAGAATAAAGTTAAAAGGTGTTCTTAAATCTAGTTTTAGATTATTTATGTAAAAGTATTCATTGTCTCCCTCAGTATAGAAAAATGTGTACTGAATATTAAGTTATGTATAATTTAGTTTGAGGCACCTAAAGAAATGGTCATGGTTTTAAAAAGTTAAACAGTAGGCATATGTAACTGTTAACATGATATGTGGCTTTTACTTTTATTAAAATTTTTATTTCACACATACTTATTTTCAAATACTCAAAGCAGTTATATGAAAATGGCCGATGGGTAGGTATCTGCTGTAGATCTTGTATTCAACTCTTACTATTATAATCCAGTTGATTATGCAAGTGTATCACAGTCTTTGGGTAGTAGTAGCTTTGTTTGCACTATAGTTAAGATCAAATAGGGATTTTGACATGGTTTCTTGTTATTAGAAGGGGCTGCCAAATGTTATAGCTTCCATGTCCCTTTGATAAAATAGCAATATGAAATACGACAAAATATTCTATTGGAAAAGTACCTGATTGCTGGATTTGTGACATGGTTTTATTTTTATAGGAGAGTCTAAGTACCACTGCTCAGTTTGTGGTAAGTCTTTTCACAGGGGTTCTGGACTCAGTAAGCACCTAAAGAAACACCAGCCAAAGCCTGAGGTTCGAGGCTATCATTGTACTCAGTAAGTATTTAATATGTGAAACATTCATTTGATTTCCTTATGTTTGTACTACGTTTGTTTGAAAGTTGTTTTCAAAAGAAAATATTTGAGGAGACTATAGTTGATAACTTAACACTGTATTGTATAGTTGCAATTTGCTAAGAGAGTAAAACCTAAATGTTCACACACACACATATCTGAGGAGACGGATGTGTTAACTGGATGGAGGGAATCCTTTTATGAATCATCATCATGTACACTTCAAATATCTTTAAGTTTTATTTTTCAGTTATACCTCAATAAAGCTGGGGGGAGGGTTGGGGGAATACTTGAAAATAATATTAAACTGCTATTTGTTTATTCTTGATTTTTTTAATCACTTTTTTCTCCTAGATGTTTCTATTTATGATTTTTAGATAGAAATCACATATTGTACATATCACTCATGTAAAAGGATTTAGGCCTGCTGCCTGGCCCAGCTACACTTGGAGGTGGGGAGGCACACTGCTTCTGTCCACAAAGCCAGGGTGCTCCGGGGTCTTTCACCTCCTGCCATGGCCTCAGACCCCTTCCTGCATGCCTCCCACCCCCAACTCCCTCATGTCTGAGCTGTACTGCATGGATGCCTAACTCCTCTGGAAGGCTAATGAGACAGAGTCTTCCTCTCTTGGTTTCAAAAGGCCTCCTGGCATCCGGCATCGGGGTCATCTCCTTCATGCAGAGTAACATGGGTCAGGAAGCTGCCTATGGTTTCTCCCTGCTGGGTAGCCTGTGCCCAGTATAGGGTGGTGCACCTCCTACATGGTGGGCCTGGAAGCACTGCAGGGGCCCATGCAGCTCTTGCTAGGGGTACGACCATGGGTATGGGCGCCACGCCGGCTGCTGGCCTGCTCTAGGCCTGTGCTGTCCCCCTCTATATGGGTAAACTGGAGCCGGATGTGGAACTGGTACCCAAAGATAATGGGACGGCTGCCACCAGAGTGAGCAGCAGGGCCACGGAGAATGGCCAGGTGCTGGACAGCCTGGGTCCAAGGACCAGGACATTAAAACCTGACCCTTCCTTTGCAAAATAAATAAATAAATAAATGAAAATATTTAAAGAGACTCTTCAAATCTGTTGTTACCCAGGGATGGAGACTGTAGGAAAGAATGATCCCTGGTGCTGGCCACAGTTTCTTCCTAGGCAGTTTCTCTGAAGTGCTGGGCCCTCTGCTAGTTTCTCTGTTCTTCAGACTCCTTTTCTTTCTCCCTCTTTTGATTGTCCAAAGCCTCTTGAAATCAGTTTTTTGATCATGTAACATAAAATTCATTATTTTAAAGTGTGTCATTCAGTGGCTTTTAGTACATTCACAGTGTTGTGCAAACATTACCACTTTCTAGTTCCAGAATGCCTTCAACACTCAAGCAGTTTACAGCTGTGCCTTGGCTTTCTCTTCCTGTTTGTGCAGAGTCAGCCAGAAGGGAGAGCTTAGGGCTTTTTCAGGTCTTCTGAGCATGTGCCCAACCCTGAGTAAGTGTGTGGACTTGTAGACTCCTGGGAGTATGTGAGAGTTTTTCAAAGCCCCTATTCCTCAAAGCATTTTATTCCCCAGCCTTTCTTCCTAAGCTTTAGTTTGTATGTTGTCTGTACTAAATTATTATTCCTTGCCCAGGTGGCAGTGGCTAATACATTTGCTTTTAAATATTTTTACCAAACTCCTCTTTTCTCCTAATCCTTCGCCCTAGGAGAGTTAGGAAAATAAAAGCAAGCTCTTTGAGGAGATCTTGAGAAAAGTCACCAGACAGGTCAAAACATATACTGGGTTTGCTGAAAAGTCCATTTAGTTTTTTCTGTAAACTAGAAGACATTTTCATTTTCACCAATAACTTCATTGATTTGGATATTTTGAGTAAATTGGCTGTCTCCCGTGTGGTATAATATTGATTGTTCTCAATTAATGTCTTGATTCGAGAACTATCAACTTCAATTGGTCTACCCAAATGTGGAGCATTGTCCAGCAAGAAAACTCCAGCACAAAACTTCACAAACCACTTTTGATGTGTTCTTTCAGTCACAGCACTTTCTTCATACACTGCATAAATCTTTTGCGTTCCAGTTGCATTTTTACCTTTCTTGAAACAGTAAAGCATAATATGCCGAGAATGTGTATTTTCTTCCATCTTCAGTATTAAAATGACTACACAAAAGATTCACTGATTTTGATGTTTTTTTAATGCAAACTGATATGACAGCTGTTACAATACAGTCTAACAAAATTGTTTTTGAATGAAGCTAAAAACAACTAAGCGCTATTAGAGCTATCTTATGGGGAAAAAATCAAATGAACTCTTTTTGGCCAAGCCAATACAACCACTGTTCTTTGAGATTAAGTTCCTCTGGCCCTAGTAACCCAGAGCGGTATGTAGTCTTGTCCTCATGGCTGTTGCTGAGCTGAGGAGTAGGGGATGCAGCCAGGATAAGTTCAAGTGCCACAAAGTTTTCTTACTGAGATTCAACTACTTTTTTTCTTGATTACATGTTTGCCTAGTTACTGTAAATGTAATTATTTCCCATAGTTCCAATAAAATTGATTCTGACAGTTTCTGCCAATTTATCCACTGTTTTTGTGTAGAAATGGGCTTTAGGAGTTTCTTACTCTTACATATTGGCTGATATCACCCAAATCAGTTTTATTTTTAAATAAAGATAGTTCATTATTAATATATTTTTACTTATAAGTGAAAAAAAAACAACTCTAAACTGGCTTGAAAGAAAGGTGTAAAGTATAGGATTCTGAATGGTTTAAACTGCATTCAGATTCATTAACATTTGGTGTCTCTGAGGCCCCATGTGGACAAGGCAGGGGCAATGTTTTTAGCCTCATATTCTCTCAACTCCCAAAGTGTTGAGCCGCTTTTCTGGTATTTCCTGTAAAAGCCCTGAGGTTTTTACTCTGATTGGATCTGAGTGTCATGTGGTCATCCCTGAATCAATCACTATGGCCAAGGGGATGCTATGTTCTGATTGACTTAGGCCTGAGGACGTTGCTCCATCTGTATGGGCAAGGATAAGGAAGGCTTACTCCCAACATCTAGACAGAGAATGAGAGATGGTTAAAAAAGGGGATCAGATGGGACTGATGAGGAGACAAAGTAAGTGTCCTGTGTAGTAACCTTTGAGAGATCCGCATGATTCTTTCCAGAATGTTTCTAGTGTCTAGGGCCAAAAGAACTTAACACCCTGCAGCCTAATTGCAAGATTGAAATACTAGTAAATTCTTTTGTTTTAAATTGAGACCTAGAAACCCAAGAATATACTGAATTTTTGAAAACTTGTTTTAAAAGAATAAGATCATCCAGTTGGGTGATTGGATTTTATTATTGCAGATGTGAAAAAAGTTTCTTTGAAGCTAGAGATCTTCGCCAGCACATGAACAAACATCTTGGTGTGAAGCCATTCCAGTGCCAATTTTGTGATAAGTGCTATAGTTGGAAGAAAGATTGGTATTCCCATGTGAAGTCTCATTCTGTCACTGAGCCTTACCGGTGGGTAAATTCGAGGAGGATCTGAACTTAATTGAGATGTATATGTACTTGGATTATTTCTTACAGATACTGATGCTTTTAGGTTTTTTCTTCCTATTTTAGATGTAATATATGTGGTAAAGAATTTTATGAAAAAGCATTGTTCAGAAGGCATGTAAAGAAAGCTACCCATGGGAAAAAAGGAAGAGCAAAGCAAAACCTGGAACGGGTATGTGAACGATGTGGAAGAAAATTCACTCAACTGAGAGAGTATAGGAGACACATGAATAATCATGAAGGTAACTTTACTTAATATCATATAATATAGCTTTATATTATAGATAAATACATGGAGAATAAAAGCCAATCCAATAGTGATCTCCCTTTATCAGCCCCCTTGCTTATTACTTCACCCTCCTTGATCGATGTATTCCATATCAAAGATTTTTTCAAGGGTAGAGGTGATTCTGAACCTGCGTACTTGACTTAGTGAGCTTAATATTCTCTATCAACATTTTTTATGGACTACTTGGAGCCTGTTTTCTTATCCTAGGATTATAGGAATACTGTGAAGGTTAAGTGAGACCATGCACAGAAACTCAGAATTGCCCCTCAGAAACTTCTATTGGGCACATCTTTAGAGGGACTGTGGTGCAAAATCTGGTTTATTCTAAGGTAAACCATTAGGTCCTAAATAAAAGATTGCTATAGTCAAGGTAGAAAGGGCTATGAGCTACTGTATTTAAAGAGAAGCATTGCTTACCAGGCAACTTGAATATATTTTGATACTTGCACCTCACCACACACACCTCTCTTTTTCTTCTTCCTTTTTTTAATAGGAGTTAAGCCATTTGAGTGCTTAACATGTGGAGTAGCTTGGGCTGATGCCCGATCTCTAAAACGCCACGTCAGAACACATACTGGTGAACGGCCCTATGTCTGTCCTGTATGTAGTGAGGCCTACATAGATGCTCGAACACTCCGAAAACATATGACTAAATTTCACAGAGATTATGTGCCTTGCAAAATTATGCTGGAAAAAGATACTCTTCAGTTTCATAACCAAGGAACTCAAGTGGAGCATGCTGTTAGCATCTTAACAGCAGACATGCATGAACAAGAAAGCAGTGGTCCTCAAGAACTTGAGACTGTGGTAGTGACAGGGGAAACTATGGAAGCTCTTGAAGCTGTTGCAGCTACTGAAGAGTATCCTTCCGTATCTACACTTTCTGACCAAAGTATTATGCAAGTGGTTAATTATGTGTTGGCACAACAGCAAGGACAGAAATTATCCGAAGTTGCAGAAGCTATTCAAACTGTTGAAGTAGAGGTGGCACATATTTCAGAAGCAGAAGGACTGTAGTAATGGAGATTTTAAAAAGTGACATCTCATGTACACTGAGCTCACAGAATGTTTGTTTACAATGCTATGTATGTGGACTCTTTGTGTAGAGTTTGTATATCAAGACTCTGGGCTGTTTGATGATGTTTTAACATTTCTTAATGGTTTGGCCTACAGTCCATTTACTGTAAAGAGATTGAAAACAAATCTGTTTGGTGGCAGTGGTTTATCATGGTATACTTTTTATGAATTAATGTTTGTAGAAGACCGTACTAAATGAAAAATTGTACAGTTTCATTTATATTTTGACATTATTATACACTTTGAGTTTAAAAGGCTGTACCAGTCGACTTTTCTTTTCATTTGCCCTTTTTATGGACCTAAAAAATTCTAATATAAAGCATTTTAGTAGGATGCATAGGTACATTACATTTTTTAAATGGCTTCAAATCTGTGGTTCTTGACTTTACTATTTATTTTAAGTCCTTATAAGTCAGGGATTCTTTATTTTATTTTAATGCACTTAATGAGTTACATGTTGTAATCAAGTTTGCACAATATACTTATCTATATAGGAAACCCTTAAGTGAATAGCTGATTTTAAATATGCCATTAAAATGCATGAAATGCCTACTAAAGCCTTACTGTACTATCTCTTCAAGGCAAGGAAATAGACCATACACAAAGAACACTTTTTATTAAGCACTGTTGATGAGAAATTTCTCCTTGATAACATAGGGCAATACATGGGCGGATGGGGGTGGAAAGAATCTCTGTCTTTTGCTGAAAAAGTAACAAAACTAGGTTTGGTATATTCACAGCTTTTGTATCATGTTTTCTTAAATTGTGTTTTTGTTTTGCTTTTTTGTATCATGTTTAATTGTTCATTTTGTTGAAAAACTGCAGTTTAGAAATAGGATAATATAGATATCTACAGTGGTCCTGTGGATATCATATAATTGTACAAGTTATTTCAGAATATTAAAAAGTCTTCAACTCATCCCTCATTATAGTATACTACTTAAATTAATTATGATCCATCAAATTGTTGAAAGTAAATTATTTTAAAGAGTTACCTGAGAATTAAATTATATTAATTAGTGTGTTTGATTTTTAAATTCCCACCTCCTTAAGCTATCTAATTTTTTGACTTTCAGAATAACCATAGGGATATGTCACATTTCTCTCCTCTGGGAAACTATCATTAGAGCTATAATTGTTAAAATTAAACTTTTAAGTATTAAAAAGTATTATAAGGTATAAAATTAGGATGTAAGCATATTACATGTAAATCATTCCTAAAGCACAAGAGAATAATGTGCCTTGATGTACATATATCACTAAGATACTTTATTCCAGTTTACTTTAAAAAATGGCTTAATAGATAAAGAATAAATGTGATGCCATGCATGCATTATACTTGCATATATAATATTTTCATTTGTAAATTTCCCATTATTTCAATAGCTGTGTGGCTGACTTCCACTTTTAAGTGAATTGACATACAGTATATAACTCTATAATGGCTGTTTGTTTATTGTATCTTTCAGTTAGTGAAAATGTATAATATTTCAACCTGACTAAAATAGGGAATTATGTCTGTTATGTTCCACCCTCACCATTGTTATTGGATTTAGTTACTTGTATAAGGCCATTAATGTATGTTATAAATATGTAAATAAAAGATGTTGAACCTTGTTTAAAAGTGTAATTTTGGAGTTGAGCTGGTCACTATTTTAATTCATAAATAAATTGCTGTTATTCTGTTTTTAAAGGAAAAGGGCACTGAACACATTAAAAAATAACCATTGTGGTAACACATAATACTATTTAAACTTACTACTTTTAAACATAATCTAACCACAAAATTTAAAGTAGTGATTAATTGCCAACTTTGGATAATTTAAATGTATAGAATTAAATAAATTACAAGTAGAAGCAAGTGTTAAGTTAAAAAATTCAGTTTTATATTGCCATGAGGGAAACGTTTGTAATTTATACAAATTTATTTTTATTTATTTTATAATTACATTTCATTGATTATGCTATTACGGTTGTCCCAATTTTTCCTCTTTTGCCCCCATCCACCCAGCATCTCCCACTCCCTTAGGCATTCCCCACACCATTGTTCATGTCCATGGTCATGCATAGGTTCTTTGACTACTCCATTTCCTTTACTGTACTTTATATCCCCATGGCTGTTCTGTAACTACCTATTTGTACTTCTTAAACCACTCACTTCTTTACTCATTCCCCCCCATACCTACCTCCCATCTGGCAGCTATCAAAATGCTCTCTGTATCCATGATTCTGCCTCTGTTCTTGTTTGCTTAGCGTGTTTTTTAGATTCAGTTGCTGATAGATAGGTATTTATTGTTCATAGTTTTGATCTTTTTCTTAAGTCCCTTTAGCATTTCATAAATAATGGTTTGCTGATGATGAATTCCTTTAGTTTTTCTTGTCTGGGAAGTTCTTTATCTGCCCTTTAATTCTAAACAACGGCTTTGCTGGTTAGAGCAATATTGGCTGTAGGTCTTGCTTTTCATGATTTTAAATATTTCTTGCCAGTCCCTTCTAGCCTGCAAAGTTTCTTTTGAAAAATCAGCTGACAGTCTTACGGAAACTCCCCTGTAGGTAACTTAACTGCTTTTCTGTTGCTGTTGTTAAGATTCCCTCTTTATCTTTAACCTTGGGTGTTTTGACTATGATGTGTCTTGGAGTGGGCCTCTTTCGGTCCATCTTGTTTGGGACTCTGTGCTTCCTGGACTTCCATGTCTATTTCCTTCACCAAATTAGGGATGTTTTCTTTTTTTTTTTTTTTCCTTTTTTTTTCAAATAGATTTGCAAATTCTTGCTCTTTCTCCTCTTCTTCTGGCACTCCTGTGATGCGAATATTGAATCATTTGAAGTTGTCCCACAGGTTGCTTACACTATTCTTGGGGGTTTTGGATTATTTTTTCTTCTTCTTGTTCTGATTTGTGATTTTTTGGTTTCTTATGTTCCAAATCATTGATCTGATTATTGGCTTTATCAACTTCACTGATGGTTCCATGTAAATTGTTCTTTATTTCAACTGTTTATCCTTTGTTTCCAGCTGGATCTTTTTATGCTGTTAAGTCCTCACTAAATTCCTTGAGCATCCTTATAACCAGTGTTTTGAACTCTGCGTCTAGTAGATTGCTTATCTCCATTTTGTTTAGTTCTTTTTTGGGAATTTTGGTCTGTTCTTTCATTTGGGCCATGTTTCTTTTTCTCCTCATTTTGGCATCTTCCCTGTGTTTGTTTCTATGTATTAGGTAGAGGTGCTTTGACTCCATGTCTTGGTAGCCAAGATAGTAGGCTAATATAGTAGGTGTTTGTAGTGTCCAGTGGCATAGCCTCTCCTATCAGAAAAAATAACCCAAAAATCCCAAGGATAGTGTAAGCAGCCTGTGGGACAACTTCAAGCCTCTCCTATCAGCTTCTAAAAGGCGTTTGAGGTACACCTTTTGTGGGGGCTGAGTACACCCTCCTCTTTTATTTTGAGACTTGACTGCTGTTGGCAGGTCAATGAGAGGGATTTATCCAAGCCAGTCAGTTGTAAATATTGACTGTGACCACTGACCACCAAGCTCCGTCCTCCGTGAAGGATCAGCTGTGCAGGGGCAAGGTAGTGGTGCTCTGGCTTGGTCTATACCTGTCCATTGGGTTTGTGGGCTCTGCGGTTTTCCAGGTGGTGCACACCAAGGTCAGCTCCTGCCCATGTTTTGTCCCAGGGCCACAGTGAGCTATAAAGCAATCTGCAGATAACTGGTACTCGTGCTAAACTTGGAGATCCCCAGGCAAAGCCAAACTGTGAATCTAGTCTGGTTGCTGCTAGTTTTGGACTTGGATCACTCAGCAAGGGGTGCAGGGTCTGTGGGCTCACTGAGGCTGGCTGTTGCTTGTTTGAGAGAATTTAGGAGGTTGTGAAACATGAGCCAAAACCAGCCATTCATATGAAAAAGCAGCTTGGGTGGGTTCCTTAGTTGGGTGGGATGGAGTCTCTGGGGATCTCTAGGGTGGGGTAAACAGTGTTAGCCAGGTTGATGGAGTGTGAGATACACCAGCCTGCTGCCTGCCATGTTTGTAGCTCTGTGGAGGGAGGGTTCTGAAAAGGGACAATGGCCTCTGCCCACCCTCTGTCCCCCAGTTCTTGCCTTAATGCCAGACAGTTCAGTTTCTCCCTGTATTCACTGGTGACTTGCAAGCTGGTACCCCACTGCTGGAGCTTGAAGTGAGTCTAAGTTCATGTGTGGATTCTTTAAGAGGAACTGCTTGGGACTCCAGAAGTTTCTTCCACTGACTCAATCCCTGCTGCGTTTTGCAGCCAGAAGTTATGGGGACTTCATATTCCTGGTACTGGAACCCTGGGTTGGGGGACCTTGTGTGGGACTGGGACTCCTTACTCCTAAGATTTCCCTTCCAAATTTTTATCTACCACACTTGGATGTGGGACCAGCCCATTCTGTGTCTGTGCCCCTCCTTACCAGTCTGGATGGATGTGGTTTCTTTAATTCCGTAGCTGTCAGACTTCCATTCAACTCTATCTCTGATGGCTCTGAGTGATGGTTGTTCTATATTTTAGTTGTAATTTTTATGTGGTTGTGCGAGGAGGTGAGCCATGTTTACCCAGGCCTCCACTTGACAAGAAGTCCCTTACAACTTATTTTTAGAAACTGTTTTGTTGTCAGATGACATTCCTCAAACTGTGTGGACACACCTCCTGGTTAAATTTAGTTGTTACCACTACAGCTACTAAGCCGTTTGTGTCATTGCTGTTAGTCACTAATATGTATGTATTACGATGGAAATGAATTAACTGTTTCTCCAACATGGGTTTTAGTTTGTCTTATTAAAAAGCCAATGGCTGTTTATAGAATTTCACAAGATTACCTAAACAGCTGAATTTAGAGCTAATCCAATTTTGTGTCCTTTTAAAAAAGTAACATTGATGCAAACTACCTGTGCATGATGCTACTTCATTCTTTTCACACCTGTAATCTTGGAGGTTCCTAAGCAGGGCTTTCACATCTACTGTTTGGAACATGCACAATAAAAGCCTTTGTCTCCCTGATGCTATAAATTTATCAATCACAGTTTGTAGAGGTTGCAGATCAAAGATGTATAGCTAACTATTTCTTTAATCATTTTAAATATACCATGCTTATTTTGTAGTCTATTACCTGAAGTTTTGAACTTAATACTGCTGGGTTTTTTTATTTTTTCCTCAAGAGTTTTACATATTTCAGAGTTCAAGGTCATTTGTAATTGGGTCTTATCTTTGGGAATCCTGTGCCACACAGCTAAGGTTGAGGATGAGTGGGTCCTTCCAGATTAGTTTTATGTTTGCTCCCAGTTACTCCAGGCATACCAATGGCTAGGTACTATGTTTGTATTAGTTTCTCAGACTATGGCTTCCCAGACCACCAACTGTAAATTTGAACTTTAGACCAGTATGAGGGCAAACCCACTATTGTACATCTTCAAGGGAGGCCTTTTGTCTGAGACAAATATCCTTGTCTTCAATCTGTTATAAGGCTTCTACAGTTTCAACTCTATTTCCTTTTATTTGGGCTCCCTAGGACACTCCCTTTCTTACAACCCCAGTAGTATGATTTTCAAAGGAGTTTGTTGTGGCTTATCAAGGAGAGATTTTCAGGTATTTTAGTCTTCCAAATTCTAGACACCAAATAGTGTTGTGTCTTTAAATATTTTTCTCCTCTCTTTACTCTGTTTCTGAAAGCTTTATTTCTACTTTTAATATCTTTCATTCTCATCTTCTGCCTTTCTGATAACCTGGGAGTTCCTCAGTCTGATCTTTAACTTTTGATTCAATTATTTATTAAATTCTTCATTTAAAAGTTTTATTTTTTACCACTTGGTTCTTTTTTTAAAAAATATATTTTATTGATTGTGCTATTACAGTTGTCCCATTTTCCCCCTTCACTCCCCTCCACCCTGTACACCCCCTCCCACCCACATTCCCCCCTTTAGTTCATGTCCATGGGTTGTACATATAAGTTCTTTGGCTTCTACATTTCCCATACTACTCTTACCCTCCCCTTGTCTATTTTCTACCTACCATCTATGCTACTTATTCTCTGTACCTTTTCCCCCTCTCTCCTCCTCTCACTCCCCTGTTGCTAACCCTCCACATGACCTCCATTTCTGTGTTTCTGTTCCTGTTCTAATTGTTTGCTTAGTTTGCTTTTGTTTTTGTTTTAGGCGTGGTTGTTAATTGTGAGTTTGCTATCATTTTACTGCTCATTTTTTAAATCTTTTTCTTAGATAAATCCTTTTAACATTTCATATAAGAGCTTGGTGATGATGAACTCCTTTAACTTGACCTTATCTGAGAAGCACTTTATCTGCCCTTCCATTCTAAATGAAAGATTTACTGGATAGAGCAATCTTTGATGTAGGTCCTTGCCTTTCATGACTTGGAATACTTCTTCCCAGTCCTTCTTGCCTGTAAGGTCTCTTTTAAGAAATCAGCTTATAGTCTTATGGGAACTCCTTTGTAGGTAACTGTCTCCTTTTCTCTTGCTGCTTCTAGTATTCTCTCCTTAATTTTAATCTTGGGTAATGTAATTATGATGTGCCTTAGTGTGTTCTTCCTTGAGTCCAACTTCTTTGGGACTCTCTGAGCTTCCTAGACTTCCTGGAAGTCT